GTTCATTTTGGGTATTTGCAACTGCTTGGTCTTCCATGTACAATTTCTCTCTTTTGTGACTAAAACCACCTACTGATTCCTTAATTTTAGTTATATTTTCTCTGGTTCATGAATTTTTGTAAGTCCCTTTCATACTCTGTCCTATCTTTTGCTGACATGTTCGATGTCAATCTTCAATCTCCTCTTTCATCTCTGTGAACACTGAACAAGGTTGTTTTAAATGTTTGCTCACTGTCATCTTGGAGCCCTTCTGTGTTCACTTCTATTACTTATGCTTTCTCTTAATTTTCGTATCAGTTGTCTTGTCACCTCGTATTATTTCTGATTGAGTGCCAGAAAACATACATGGAAAATTATACCAATAATTTGAGATCAAAGGTGGTATCTCTTTCCAGAGAGGACTTCTGTTGCCAGGTACCTGGGATAGCAGTAATCCAGGCTGACTGAAGCCACCGCACACCAGGTTACTGAAATTCAATTTCTGGGGCTGAAAATATTTTAAACTGAGAGTCGTCCCGAGTTATTTATGGTTCATGATCACTCTTCTGATACAGCCCTTCGGGGTCCTGACCTAAAGAAACAGAGGTTTACCAGGCAACAGTCCCCATCACCTTGGCTCCTAAATGCTCTGAGAAGCTCCAGTCTCTTTTTCTCTCTGAAACGACAAAACCTCTAGAGGAAAAAGCAGCCCAAACACCAGGCTCATCTCCTAGCCTCTGGCTATTCCTGGGTCCTGGCCCTGTAATTTTTCACTGTGTCTTGTTAGTTCCCAGGTACCTTCAAACAGTAGTTTAAAAATATTTTGGCTGGCTTTTTAGTCATCTTCAGGGAGGCTGGTCAGAACCATCATGGATTTTGGAGCGCCCTCTCTTTTCTAACATAAATAATTCTCTAAGAAAATCTCCTCTAGCTCCCCAACCTATCTTCCTTCCTTGACCTCCCACAATACACACCCTACAATGCAATCAAAGCCCTAGCACCAAGATGTTCACAACAGCATTTATAATGATGAGAAACAGGATACAAAATGCCTAATGATAAGAGGATGGTTCAGTCCACGATGCAATATTCTGATGATGCAGTCAGTGAAACTCTTTTAGGGTTGTTAGCGTACAGACATATCTGAAGCTATAATGTTAAATGTAGGCTTCTATGTAGGCTTAAAATGTGGGCTACACGTTGGAGGCGGCCCTCTTGTCTACATACTCCCGCACGAGACAACCCCCTTTATCTCCATGCCTTCAAGCATCATCTATGTGACTCCAAACATGGATTCCCAGCACTGACTGTCTTCTGGGCTCCCGTCTTGTATACCCAATTACTTTCCAAAGTCATCTCCATTGGGAGGTCTTAAAAGCATCTCAAACTTCATTTGCCCTAAGGAGACTCTCGATTCTCTCTGTCCGTTCACATCAAACTTTTCTACTTCGGGGAACATACAATCGTCTACCCAGCTGCTCAACAAAAAATTTAAGAGTTATTCTTGTTCATTTCATCGAGCCCATCCCCAAAAATCCATCAGCAAGTCCTATGAACTTCAAGATACACACCACATGTAAACCTGTCTCCCCACAGCCACCAACCCCCATGTGTCTAAGTCACCATCACCAGTAGCTCCATAAATGATGTCTCAGCTTCTGTTCTCTTTCCACCGCAATTCATCTGCCACACAGCCACAGGAGTGGTCACCGAAAAACGCAATGTAGATCTCATTCCTATGCTGAGTGCCACTTAGTGCCTTTCCAACACATTTCAGTTAAGTGAAATGCCCCCAGGGCCTCCAAGACCCTGCATGATCGGACTCGGGCTTACCCCGTCTGACCAAGTCTCCCTCACGCCACATCTCCCCGCTCACCAGGCACTGGCCCCACTGGCCCGGCCACCCTCCTGGCCACTGACCACGTGAAGCTTGCCACCTCGGGGCTTTTGTGCTCGGTGTCTCACTATGAACGCTCTGCCCCAGCTCTCCGCACAGGTCAGACATGATCGTCTCAGAGAGGACACCCCACTTACCATCCATATCGTCACCTTGTTTTCTTCACGGCCTCACTACAGTACGGGATGCCCTTGTTCTTACCTACCTGTTCCCATGTGTTAATTTTCTGTCATTCTCATCAGAACAGAAGCTTCTCGAGAGCATAGGCTGTGTCTGCCTTCTCTACTGCTGGGCCCCCAGTGCCTGCCTGGGACGATGGAGGCCCTGGGCAGTTAAGCAACTTGCTCAGGACCACACAGCTGGCAGTCTGTGGAGGTGAGGTTTAAACTCGCGATTTCCTAACTGCAAACCCACGTGCTTCCCAGGGAGCTCCCCTTGCTCTACGTCCTGAGCCACAGTCCAGGCACTTCTGCTAGATTTACTTTCCGTGCTCCTGGGAAAGAAGCCGTAATTTCCTCCTCACTCATACCCTCCTAATTAACCACAGCAGTTAATCACCACATATTTACTGCTGTGTGGCCTTGGGCCTTAACCCCTGCAACTCAACTTCCTCATCCATGAAATGGGATTATTCCTAAAACACGCTGTGTCATTGCTCTGAAGGTTAAACGATTATTATTTTCCAAGTGCTGAGAACCCTGCCCGGTACACAGAACACATCACACAAGTATTTGCTCAAGAAATAAATGGCATTTGTGTGTCCGGCACCGTGGGGACGGGGGCAGCGGGAGACAAGGTGAGGTTTCCACGTGCTTCCATCAGACACACTCACAGTGGAGGTGGGAGGGGCCCGGAGACGCAGGTCCAGCAGGGAGAGTAGCGGGCAGTAAGGAATGCTTGTGACGTGACAGGTACTGTGAGCACGTTCACCAACTTTTACTCTCAGACACAACTAGGTGTTGGTGCTACTGTGAGCGCCATTTTACTGGTTGAGCAAGCGCAGGTGCAGAGCTTATGGAGTCTGCCCGGAGCTGCACGGGCGAGAAACGGGGGCCGCAACCCAAGCGCTCACTTCCATTTATGCCTTTCGACCACCGTAGTGCTCTACACCGTGCCAGAAAACCTCATGTAAGCGCCCACTGAACGGACGGATGTAAAATGAGCAGGACACACTGTGCATAAAGGAAGAACTTATGTTATACTGTTGAAACAAAAAGAAACATTTAATGTAATGTTTCTAATTAAAGGTTTCGATTGGAGCAACAATGAATGATGACCAAAACCTTCAAAAAGTCATTTCTGCTGACATAACCGGTTGTGATGAGGAAAAGTCCAGGGAGTGGGCTAACACTATCACCACTAGAGGTACGGAAAAGACTTACCTTTAACATTTATGTAGGTTATAGATGGTAAATTAAATTCGATTTGATATAAAAAAAAATTCCAAGTAAGTATATATAAGAAGTTATATATTTATATATATATATATATTTATATATATATATAGGAAGGAAAAAAATAGATATTCTAGCATACAAATGCAAGGGGAAAAAAAGGGAATTTTGAAAACAAGGTTTTTAACTGATTTCTCACACACAGGCCACTGTGGCTGGAATTATCAGGACCGCGGACAGCACCGAAAGTGCCCTTTGGTGGGGGGCAGGAGGGAGCCAACCTCCAAAGGACTGGGTTTGTAGGAGACTCTGAATATTAGGGTTCCTCGTCCACTTAGCCACATTTTACAGTTCTGTCTCAATTTTACTGACTCGCACGTAAAGACCGGCCCCTACGTGCAGAACCTGCTGACAAGGGCGGACGCATTTTCACGCCTCCCTCCTGCAGTGACTGCCATTTCCACTAACAGGTCTTTGTTTATTCATTCGAGGATGGAAATGAAAGGAGAGTGATGACATTTCAATAACATTTAAATCCCAGATGTTGGTAAAAGAACAGGATATTAATGCCTTCAGTAGATAATGGGTGTAAGACACACACACACACACACATACACACACGCACACACAAATAACATGTTAATTTTTTATTTAAAATGTACTAATTGTAGCTCAAGTGACCGCAACCACTTCTCTATGTTCAATTTTGCAAAATGGGCATCTTTTAGTCGTTTCCAAGCTCTGTGGCTAGATTCAAAAGTTACTGAACAAAAATGTATCTCTTTATCAGCTTCTCAAAAAACCTCATTAACAACCCTATGAGGTGTATTCATAGGGACATACACACATATATATATAAAATACAGACAAATTATAATAGCATATTACTAAAATGGTGAAAGTAAGTATTTTTGAAATATTAACATCCCTTGTTAATGCATTAAAAACCATTCTGCAAATACTTAGGACTCAGTATCAAGCAGAACAGCCTTCCCCCACTTTCTTTGATAATGGAACAGGCTACAAAATTGCACAGCTTTGTTAGTTTGCTCTTGGAAGCAATAATACGGCCACGGAACTTGCTGCGACCATTCTGTTCCTTTACAAATGCCGTTAGGCTGGCCTGCCTTCCTTTCTTCTTCTTCTAAATGACTGATTGAGCTGGTGATTTAATCCTCTGCAGCAAGCATGTAAGACGAGGCTCTCAGAATGGCCAAGCCCCGGGCAGAGGACAGGGAAGCTGCCGGTCTTGCTGGAGGCTTAGCCAGCCAGGGCATCCAAGCAGCCACAATGCAGCCGTCAGCATGTTTTCACTATGCAAGTCCCACATTTCCCAGTTAGAAAACACACAGCCATTACCCCTTTCTGTGTTCCCACACAAGGCTCTCTTTTGTTTATTTGTGTTTGTTATCATATGGCTTATACCGACATGTTTGCTTGATTCCACTGGTGTGCACACATCCATTGAGAGGCGAAGAAAAAGAAGTGTCTATTGCAAACCTGTTAAAAGGAAAAAGGGACTCCCACTGTTTTTTTTCCTCTGGTGGGGGCCCCTCTGTTTAGAGGACAGGATGTTAACGCTTTGCGTCCCGGGAAAGAATGACTTCTTCGCGCACTTTAAATTTTTCAAAGGCTTCTTTACTGATAGAATGTCATAAATGAGAGGGAAAAAAAATGTTATTCACAGATGACCATAATTCTAGAAGCTGACGTTTTTTCGGACATAGAGAGTACGTTAGCACAGGGGACCACTTTTATTTCATTCTGAACATACCTGAGCTGTTTTTACAAAAGCAATTTAAAGTACGACTACAAAAAACGGCGGAAGCACTTTACTCTGGAACGATCAGTATTTCGGTTAACGCTTCTGGCGGAATCTTTTCATTTTGGAAAATTCAACAGGAACTATGCAAAATCTCTAGAGAGCTTACAGTAACGGGCTGTCCAGGAATGTTCATACATGACCTCCCCTCCTAGAGCTTTTGTTGCTTACATCAATGACCTAAATTTCCAGTGCTCGTTTAATCCAGCTCCAGCTCTGAGTACGTATTTGGTGGGGGAGATAGAAAGAGATGGAAATAGAAAGATACAGGGTCAAATCTGCTCCCGCTCCCCAAAGCTACTTTTGCAATTCCACAAAGCGGAGCCGTGACCGGACCTGGAGTGGCGTGCTTCAGGAGACCGTGTCCTTGAAAGTGAACAGGACCAGGAATCTCTTTAATCCTGTGGTCCTGTGCACAGAGACCCCTTCACCGACGCACGCATCCCCCTGGGAGCACAATGGTCCAGGAGGTCTCTTCCCGGGTGATTTGGAAAGAGAAGAGTTAATGGCCCGCACACTCTCCCCACTCTCTCCCCAGGGCCAGGCTCAGTGACAAGCACAGCCCAGTCCCTAAAATGAAGAGCGAGCTTCTCTATTCTTCAGCATCTCTCGAATTAATTAGCTGGAAATGAGTCTTGTCAATGTTTTGGAAAGGGAGGAAGGGTGAAAAGAGACTGCTAGAATTAATCACAGTGAGAAACTACTTCAACTGCCTGCCAGAGTGCGGAGAACCCAACAGGCAGAGAAGAAAAGGAACCGGGCTGATTCGCCATCTGAAGGAACAAATGGAATCCGATCAAACGCTCCAGGCTTTGCCAAATAAGGGACGCACCCTCCCTCGAGAAGAAGAATTTATTATCTGTTGCCACAGTAAGTACAATGTATTACTGAAACGCACACTGTATCCATGGGGACAAAGGCAAACCAGACAGTTTCTAAAGCAAAGAAACAACAGAATACTCAGGTACTTTCACTTTCGAGCTTACCCACATCGAACTCTATTATCTAAAGGAGTCACGTGTTCCTGAATTTACACTTAATAAATCTTCAAACACTTGCGATTTCACATACTGCAGAAGATGGAAAATCCAGGAAACAGATTCCAAAAATTCAGGTATTTTGATGGAGAGCTCATTCACTAAGAAGAACAAAAAAGAAACAAAATGACAGATATAACAGATCTATTTTTAAGAGTCATCCAAGGCGGGTGGGGGAAACAGCAGATTTTGGTCAAGAGCTGAGAGAGAAACCTGGAACAACTCACCCAGCATTCTACGGGGAGATGCCTGTTCTTTTCATAGTAGCCATCTCTGCACTAGAAAATCCAGAAACTTCAACCATGTAAAAATTCTGATATTATTTTTCTATTTCCCCCCTAAAATGAGTTTGAACTTTTCAGACAACGGCAGCATAAAGCCAGGACAACTACCCCAAAACCCCCAAATTACTGGCAACTAAATTTCAGGCTTTTTTGGCCATTTTAGAAAGTAAAGTGCTCCCAGTCATATTCTCAGGAAGAACCTGTCACAGGGGGCACCTGGGTGGCTCAGTGGGTTAAAGCCTCTGCCTTCGGCTCAGGTCATGATCCCAGGGTCCTGGGATTGAGCCCCATGTCGGGCTCTCTGCTCATCGGGGAGCCTGCTTCCTCCTCTCTCTCTGCCTACGTCGCTGCCTACCTATGATCTCTGTCTGTGAAATGAACAAATAAAATCTTTGGGGGGGAAAAAAACCTGTCACAGGCCGAGGGGATAGGGTGCTGGGACCAGAGGGGGCAGCGGCTCGCCCTGGCACACTCACCAGCGGTGGTGGGTCACTAGTAGGCTTCAGAATCAGCTTGTCGCCCTTCTTCTCCACCTCAAAGCCCATCTTCTTCAGCAGGGACGCGTCCGCCAGCCCCTGCTCCTCCATCTTGGCGATCAGATCTTGGTTCTGACTGTTGTCTTCGGTGAGGTTGCGGATGGCGTACACCACCCACTGGGTCAGAACTAGGGACCGAGTTAAGGAATCTGCCGACACGGTTCCCCGTGTCTGAAGTTCACGTGAGCGTGATGGGAAAGGGAGGGCAGGGACACAGCCTCGGTGAACAAGTTCTCACGGAGCGTGTGCTACGGACACGCCGCCCAAGAGGGAGTAATGAAAAAGCGGGAACACGCGCACTATACACGTATGCCCCACGTGTGTGCGCCTGTGTGATGGCCAGCACGGGGAGGAACTTGACTGAGATTTGATGAATGAACGAGCAGGGAAGCAACATTTGAACTCTGATCGCGTGCGCGCGCACAGATAACCGAGGTGTTGAGCCGCTGGGGAAGAAGACACGACAGCGTCAGTCACGAAGATGCCAAGTGGGAAGCAGACAGGAGACTCATCTTGCTTAAAGCCAGCTCTGTTATAAATAAGAATTGCTCCCTAGCAGTCAGCACGGAATTCCCCTCATTTGGCCGCATTTTTAGGAGGGAGCTAGAAAGCCTTTGAAGGATTTGCTGCGTCCTCTGGCCTGGCCGCCCCCAGCCCTCATTCTGCACGTTCTGGGCAGCATCGGCCACAGCAGAGAGAAGACAGGATGGCTGTGTTAGCTACCAAGGTCTTTTCTTGAGTGACCAAGAACTGTGTAAATCTCAGGATAGCATTAAACGTTGTTTAATGCTTTACGTTGTTCTAGAAAAGACTGCAGAGAAACCGGGTCCCAACTCATGGATCCAGGGACGCAAAAGCGATTCCCAGAACAGCGAGCCCGGCACGCTCTGTTGGTCCGGAGGGGAACAGCAAACACCCAGGGGAGTAAACACTTTCTCTGAGAAAGCAAGACCTCCCTGCCCACGATCGGATGGAAGTTGGCAAGGAAAACAGTCCCTTTCCCCTGACTGCCACATGCTTCCTGTGCTGGCATTTCTGATGTCAGATGGGGCATGTGTGTCCCCCCCAGGATGCATCAGGCTCTTTAGCCTGAAGGTCCTGGCTCCCAGCACGGCGGTGAGGCCGGGCCCCTCGCTGGACACACGAAGCCACAGAGAAAGGCTTCAATGTGCATAAAGCCTGTGGCTCTTTCTTGTAGACTCTGAAAAAGAATGTCAATCAAACTGCTTCCCCAGCTCCATAACCTCAGAGCAAGACAGTAAGGAACGAGCCTGTCCACTCAAGTCAGATGGCGGAGATGCAGGAAACACGAGCCTTCATGTTCAGGACAGATCTTCAGGGGTTTTAAGAAGTTACTCCATCCCGGTCCCTCTGACACGCCCACACTGGTTCACAATCCCGACAAGGCCTTTGAGCTCTCCCCTGATCACAGACGGTCCACGCCGTCCCTGCCCCTCCCGCCTGGGGGCGCGGGCAGCCCCGAGAAGAGGGTGAGCAGATGTGTGCTGGGGCAGTGACCCACCGCTCTCTGGAGGTCTATCATCAAGGGCACTTGTGAGGATAAATGACTAACTTGCTCCAGATGGCACAGTCGGCATGGGTGACGCCCAGCTGGTGCCGATTCTGTAATTAGTCGTCACCCTTTGGTGGGAGAACATGCTTCTGCCATTTACCGGTCATTCTTCGATGAGGAAGCCCGGCCCCTTCATAAGGGCTGTTGTTTCCTTTCTGGAGACAGAGATACTCAAATGCACAAAGCCTAACTGTATCGTTCTCACCCTTTTCCACGATCACCGGACCCCCACTCTACACCAGTTTAGAGAGAATAAAAGGGAGGACTGTGGGCAAAAACTTCTACCACGTTAGTGAATTTCTGAACCACGAATCATTTGCTGCAAGCAATTTCTCATCAAGAATAACATCACTCTACAGGTCCATCACTCCCAGGGCAGGGAGCCCGAAGTGGGGCTTGCCCTTTCCTCACTTTTTGTACGGAAAGGGGGAGGCAGGGTCAGGAGACCTGACCGAAGGAGCCAACAACTGGAGGGTAAATTTAGGCAAGAACAGATAGAAGACTGAACAATTTTAGCTCACGTGTTGAATTCCTGAATGCCAATGACAGGAAGCAAAGCACTTCTTTCTGAAGCTTCCTGGGAACCCACTGAAATGTGACTGAAAGCAGGAAACCCGAACGCCCCTACATGCCCCCAGAGCTGTTGGAAACGGGGTGGGGGTGCAGCTCAGCCATGGAGGAACCCAGGGCCGGACTTCAAGCTGCCAGACGAAAGGCAGGGTGTCTCTGGAGAATGGACCGCCGCCCAGAGCGGCAGTGGTCAAACCATTACCGGGCGAACGAGACCCCTGCCCAAGGGCCACCGTGTCCCTCTCCTGCCAGGCACCCTTGACACCAAGTGGGCTGCGAACATTACCGGTGACCTAGGTCTGCGTCTGTGTGTCCACCCAAACACCCCATGGAGTCTTCCTGCGCACGCGCGAGGCCCGCGCGACGTGTGACCCCGGGAGTGCCATCTCCCCACTCAGCATGTGGGTGGGGCTGTGGGGACACGGCAGGGACCTGCACAAACGTGTGTTTTTCCCTCTTGCTCTCAGGGTGGTTTCCTGACTCAGGGCTCTGCAGGCTGGAGGAAGGGGAGGACGGGAAACCCATCCACATGCAGCCCAGGCGAGAAAGCTGCGCGCGCTGGGTCAGCAAAGGGTCGGGGACGACAGCCCCCAGGAGAATTCCCGCCACGTGGGCAGACGAGAGCAGGTCTGTCATGCTCATGGTGCTGAGGCAACCGCCGCGTTTTGTGAAAATCCTGCCCCGGTGGCTCCGTAGCACCTCACCCTCACAGCGCCTGGAAACTAAACACTGACACGCCCGCCCCGTCTACCTCCTGGGAGAGAGCAGCACAGACCCGGCCAAGGGCGCTGCTCCCAGCGGGGCCAGCACTGTGCCAGGAACAAGACACAAAAGCCGTGAACTTCTCGAGGGACGGACCCCCAGCACAGCCCCCAGATGGACAGCCTAGCAGACGAGGCATTTTTGTAGTTTTCCAAAATCGGTGCTCGGAGGGCCAGAGGACGGGAGCTGAGGGAGAGGAGGGGCCGGGCGGAGCACGGCCACACTCGGGAGCCGGCTCCTACCCTAGGCACACCTTGAATGTGAGAAATAACCAGAGGGCAAAACCGCCCCCCTCTGCACTTAAATGCACGCTTCACATTCTTATATAAGGAAAATGGTACTTGTTTAAAAGAGGAGGATTTCATGGAGTCAGAGCACGGCGTCCCGCCACACACTTTTCCTGGGCAAATAGGAAAGGCGCGCTCTGGCCCTCCGCCCCCCGCAAGCGCCCGCACTTTGGGGCGGTGTCGTCTGGCTACAGACTAAGTGCCACACAGACGTGCTCGACTGGGCCCTGATTTCTTGGGAGAACATTCTAGCCCTGCTGTCTGGGCTCTCTGACTTAATAATAATTAAAAAACCAAATTGAGTGGTTGTTTCTTTCACAAAATTCGGTCTGAAAAGAGAAACACTGAAACACAGCCCCTACCGGCGGGCCCGGCTCATGAATATGCATGGCCATCCTCGTTAGCGCCCCTGAAAGCCCAGAGCCCTGGGCAGCCCCGAGTGTCACTAGGGAGATTAAAGCGAGTCCCAGTTAATATTCACATGGCCCTCTTGTTCCCACTCTGAAGAGACAGACGGAAAGAAAGAGTGGGGGAGAAAATTAAACATCTTCCAAAGCCTAATCCTACCAACACGTGAAGTGCTTTATTGTGTGCTCAGCTTTAGAGAGAGACGGCTTCTAAAGTTTCCATAGCTACTGCAAATACAAGGCGTGAGCCTGGGAGCTACAGAGCTACCTTGAAAGGGCCTTGCCAGCAACGACCTCGAGCAAGGACGCCACAGGGCCAGCCGGCTCCTCTGCGGAGGGCTCCGGTGTCTGGAAACAGGCACAAGCACAAAGACCGAGCAGCTCAGGACTGCTGAGCTTGGGAAGGTGAAGGCCGCTCCCGGGCCCGGAACCACGGCCCCGGCTTCAGAAAGATACAGGCCCAGCACCGAACCTCGTGGCTTGGCACAAGCAAGGTGATGAAGTGTTCACGGGCCACAAAAATGGGGGCCGGCAGATGACATGATCTAGCAAAAAATACCACATAGCAAGACTATTACTAGCTAGCACATTTATGTGTCAAATTCACTTTATAGATTATTTGAGAGAGAGCGAGCGAGTGCGTGTACGCGCAAGCCAGGGAGGGGGAAAGGGCAGAGGAAAAGGGAGAAGCAGGCTTCCCATGGAGTAGGGAGCCCGAAGTGGGGCAGGCTCTCAGGACCCTGAGATCCCGACCTGAGCTGAAGGCAGACGCTGGAACTGCCCGACGAGAAAGACTCCCTCTAAGAAAGGCAGTGTCTTTCAGTTACTGGGACCAGACACACTTACAAAGTCCTGCGCTGTATGGGATCGCAGGGGCTAGGGTGGGGGATAGCGACTCCCTTCTGGTCACTGCTCTGGCTCTCTAGCTGGAAGACTGCTGAGAATGGAGGTCAGCAAATTAGGGCTTGTGTTTCTGTGCAGACACAAGTTTAGTTTTTGTTTCCTTAAATACTTGGAAAAATAATCAAGACTACTACTAGTGTGTGACACGTGAAAATTATTTGAAACTCAGACTTCAGTGCCCAGAATAAGTAAAGTTTTATTGGTACGCAGCCACGCCCATTCATTTATGTACGGACTCTGGCTGCTTTTTTGCTCCAACAGCTGAGTTGTGGGGCTGCGGCAGAGACAGACAGTGGGCACAGCCAAAAGTACCTATGAAAAGGTTGGCCAACCTCTGGCATAGAACACGGAAGGCATCAGTAAGTATCTGTTGAATTTTATAAACAAGCTTTTAAAAGTACTGGCATTAGGGGCACCTGGGTGGCTCAGTGGGTTAAAGCCTCTGCCTTCGGCTCAGGTCATGATCTCAGGGTCCTGGGATTGAGCCCCGCATCGGGCTCTCTGCTCAGCATGGAGCCTGCTTCCCCATCTCTCTGCCTCTCTGCCTACTTGTGATCTCTGTCGGTAAATAAAATCTTTAAAAAAAAAAGTACTGGCATTGAAAAACTTACATTAAAACAATTTAA